GTAGGGTAAGGGGCGTGGTTGGTAAGGTAAGGTAGGGAAAGGCGCGTGGCTGGTAAGGTAGGGTAAGGGGCGTGGCCAGTAGGTGAGAGCAGTATAAAGCTGGGTGCTACACGGTCTCACTCGCAGTCGCGCCTCTCACTTCCCTTACACTCACACTCCTCCCCTACACACCTCTCACACACTCCACTCCTACCTCACCACCCCTGACACACACACACACACACACTCACCATAAAACTACCTCAACCAAGAACCAACCAAAGTATTGACCAACGAGAGCAACTTAGGTGCAGGGAGTTGACACAACCACACTTCGCCCTCCCACCCATTAATCAGCGTCACCTCCCTCCTTCAGGATGGGTGGGTTGTCGTGGGTGCTGATGGTCCTGGGTGTGGCTACCGTGGTGTGGTCGGACGAGTGTTCCCTCACTCCCGTTATCCACATCCTGTCTTACCCAGGCTGCGTCTCCAAGCCCATTCCTTCCTTCGCCTGCCAGGGACGCTGTACCTCCTACGTCCAGGTGAGTACAGTACAGTACAGTACGTTTTAATGTTATTGTTACCTGTTACTTCCACACTCAGCTGAAATTGTTTGCACCAATATTGATTGTGAACCTGACACATTCACACTGAGAGCCTGGTTAACAGGTCACTCAGAGAGCTTGGCTAACAGGTCACTCAGAGAGCCTCGTTGATAGGTCACTCAGAAGAGCTTGGTTAAAGGTCAATCAGAGAACTTGGTTAATTGGCTACTCAGCGAGCTTGGTTAACAGGTCACTCAAGAGAGCTTTGTTAAAATGTCACTCAGAGAGCTTGGTTAACAGGTCACTCAGAGAGCTTGGTTAATTGGCTACTCAGCGAGCTTGGCTAACGGGTCACTCAAGAGAGCTTTGTTAAAATGTCACTCAGAGAGCTTGGTTAACAGGTCACTCAGAGAGCTTGGTTAACAGGTCACTCAGATAGCCTTGTTAACAGGTCACTCAAGAGAGCTTGGTTAACAGGTCACTCAAGAGAGCTTGGTTAACAGGTCACTCAGATTGCCTTGTTAATAGGTCACTCAAGAGAGCTTGGTTAACAAGTCACTGAGAGAGTTTTGTTCACAGGTCACTCAAGAGAGCTTGGCTAACAGGTCACTCAAGAGAGCTTGGTCGACAGGTCACTCAGAGAGCTTGGCTAACAGGTCACTCAAGAGAGCTTGGCTAACAGGTCACTCAAGAGAGCTTGGTTAACAGGTCACTCAAGAGAGCTTGGCTAACAGGTCACTCAGGAGAGCTTGGCTAACAGGTCACTCAAGAGAGCTTGGTTAACAGGTCACTCAAGAGAGCTTGGTTAACAGGTCACTCAGATAGCCTTGTTAACAGGTCACTCAAGAGAGCTTGGTTAACAGGTCACTGAGAGAGTTTTGTTAACAGGCCACTGAGAGAGCTTGGTTAACAGGTCACTCAGATAGCCTTGTTAACAGGTCACTCAGATTGCCTTGTTAATAGGTCACTCAAGAGAGCTTGGTTAACAAGTCACTGAGAGAGTTTTGTTCACAGGTCACTCAAGAGAGCTTGGCTAACAGGTCACTCAAGAGAGCTTGGTCGACAGGTCACTCAGAGAGCTTGGCTAACAGGTCACTCAAGAGAGCTTGGCTAACAGGTCACTCAAGAGAGCTTGGTTAACAGGTCACTCAAGAGAGCTTGGCTAACAGGTCACTCAGGAGAGCTTGGCTAACAGGTCACTCAAGAGAGCTTGGTTAACAGGTCACTCAAGAGAGCTTGGTTAACAGGTCACTCAGATAGCCTTGTTAACAGGTCACTCAAGAGAGCTTGGTTAACAGGTCACTGAGAGAGTTTTGTTAACAGGCCACTGAGAGAGCTTGGTTAACAGGTCACTCAGAGAGCTTGGTTGACAGGTCACTCAGAGAGTTTTGTTAACAGGTCACTCAGAGAGCTTGGTTAACAGCTGACTCAGAGAACTTGGTTAACAGGTCACTCAGAGAGCTTGGTTAACATAATATAATATATAAACACATACATTTTACAGGTATCTGGCAGTAAGCTGTGGCAGACGGAGAGGTCATGCATGTGTTGCCAAGAGTCGGGGGAACGGGAAGCTTCTGTTGTATTAAACTGTCCCAAAGTTCGCAAGGGTGAACCGACGCGGAGGAAGGTGAGTGTGTGTAATAATAATATTAATAATAATAATAATAATAATAATAATTAACGGTTTATTAAGATAACGTGGCAGCCCGAAGTCTGAAAATATACAATGAACAGCGGTGATAAGTTGGTAGACAAATGGAACAAGCTTAGCAACTTTGTAGTAAGTGCTGGAACGCTGGAAAGTTTTAAGGGGAGGCTTGACAGATTAATGGATGATAGAGAGTGGTAGTAACTCTCGACAGGAGCTGCCATGCACAGGCCAACCGGCCTATTGCAGACTCCTCATTTTCTTATGTTCTTATGTTCTTACCCCCATATTCTCCACTTTCGTCCATCTTACTTTCTGGCTTCCACATATTGAAGAAATAATGATGATTAATTTTTAGATTATACAAAGATAAGCTAGACACTAATTTCATCTGTCATATTTGCCAGATCTTGACACGGGCACCCATTGACTGCATGTGTCGTCCCTGCACAGACGTGGAGGAGGGCACTGTCCTGGCTCAAGAGATCGCTAACTTCATCCATGATTCACCCATGGGCAATGTTCCCTTCCTGAAATAGAACCTTAATCTCTTACTCCATCCACACACACACACACACACACACACACACACACCAACACCCCTCTCCCCTGCTCATTTTATCCCTTAGGACTTCCCAATCCAATTGTTCACAATTTATCCTTAGTCTCACTCGCCACCCCTTATTCCCTAACCTACTCCCTATCCTGATCCTAACTCCCCCACACTTACCCTAACTCCTTGTCTTGTACTTCACCACCATCCCTGTTCTACAATTTACTCCCCAACACTTCCCCTCATTATCCTTTTTATCCATCAACCCCATTCTGCCACATCCCTCGCTTATTACCTAGTCCTTTGCACTTCTTCTCAAATGCCATCCAACCACCCCCCCCCACACACACACACATACTCCACCTCCATCCTTATCACTAGTCCAGCCTTCATTCCGCCCTTCAGACTGACAACTCAGTATTTTATGACCACTGGAATGACACAGCTGTTAAAAAGTGTGAGACAGTAGCAGTAATAAAATAAAATGAGGCAGCAGCACCAGCAGCAGCAGCAGCAGCAGCAGCAGCAGCAGCAGCAGAAAAGATCTTGATCTTGCAGTGGCAGCAGCACCAACAACAAAAATAATCGTGACCTAAATTGAGTTCTAAAAAATACAACTACAGTGACAACAATACTGCAACAGCACTCCATTTGACAAACTGGGGACAAGCATAAGTTCATCACAAGAACCTTTTCAACAGTTTAGTTTCATTTCCTCGTCATAACAATAAATGGCAGTGACATGAACACCAAGTACTCTATTCTTTGTTACTTAACTAACCTCTTCACAACTCCTTATTTACACAATATTTAAAAATAGATCTCAAGGAATGGAGGAAAAAGGTATTTTGGGTTGTAAACAAAATTAAGTAACACCTACCAAACAATAGTCTCTGGTGTCTACTAACTAAAGTGTTCAGATGTTCGTGCAACATGTGTGATCGGTAATAACAAAATACATAGTCATTTCCATCCTTTGTTCTTCATTAACCTAACTGCCCACTACCAGCATGATCCTAACTATACATTGTGCTCATGTAATATAACAATAAACTAACAGTGGTGGACCAGGTATTCGCAGGTATCCTCAGTGGTTAGTAGCGAAGATCTCAGGGCCGTACAATACACTTGTAAGCTGAATAAGATTAGGATTCTGCCCCAGAATACGGTAGGAGTCCACCCCAGAATAGGGTAGGATTCCTCTTAAATTACGGTAGGATTCTGCCTCATGAGACGGTAGGATTCCACCTCAAAATACGGTAGGATTCTGCGCTAGAAGACGATGGGATTCCATCCTAGAATAGGATAGGATACTGCCCCAGAAGACGGTAGGATTCCGCCTCAGAATACGGTAAGATTCCGCCTCAGAATACGGTAAGATTCCGCCTCAGAATACGGTAAGATTCCGCCTCAGAATACGGTAGGATTCCGCCTCAGAATACGGTAAGATTCCGCCTCAGAATAAGGTAGGATTCCGCCTCAGAATACGGTAAGATTCCGCCTCAGAATAAGGTAGGATTCCGCCCTTGAAGACGGTAGGATTCCGCCTCAGAATACGGTAAGATTCCGCCTCAGAATACGGTAAGATTCCGCCTCAGAATACGGTAGGATTCCGCCTCAGAATACGGTAGGATTCCGCCCTAATTATAAAATGTGATGTCGAAGGAATAAGATTCAGTGATGTTTGCCATGAATTGAGTAAAAGAAAATGGGTTAGATCAGCTGTTCTTATACAGTACAGAAATAGTTTTGTTTACAAGAAGCACAGCTAGCTGGTGGACACTAATAGGATTAAGTAATAAATAAATGGAAAAAAAGTACCTCAGTATCAATTTAATAATAACCTGTAGAAAAAGGGGAAGAAAAGTTCTCGTTATATTTTTCGTAGGCCCTAGGAGGAGGTGGTGTGTGGACTGCCTCTCCTCCCTCCACCTATCTTGACTTACGCGTTTATGATCATTTTCGTGTTTTATTTATTGATTTTATTTTATTTATTTGTTTTCGTCTTCGTTAAAAACTGCTACAAAGTAATTTAAATCTCGCATAGTAACGGTAATATATGAGTGATAAGATAATTATTGAATTGTTGTACCGTAAAGAGTCGTTCCAGTGCTTGTTTGATAGTTCGCTCGTTTGTTTCTTTAATTACTTCCAATAAAGCTCACCAAGGTTTTATTTTAGAGTAATAAGATAAGTTAGAATATAATTGATATACGTCATTATTCTAACATCAACAACGATTTATACGATAGAGAATTAAAAATAAATAAATGTTG